CGTTCCCCACCATAGACACCTGCGGTCCAGAGTTTTGCAAATATCTCAGCAACATTGTGGTTGTATTTCGCTTAGTATACCAAGGCGTATGTACAGATATAGAGGCACAATGATTTAAAAACCACTAAACAAAAATCACTAAACTTCTACATGGATAGGCAATAATATCTTACGGAATGCTCTATTTAAGCTAACGAAAGAATGCTGTTGATTTTTTCCTGCTATACTTTTCAGCAATTTCGCTTTCTTAAGAGCTCAATGGATTATACACCTATATCTTATCTGTTATTTTCTTTACGTGTTCCGTAATCACATCTACTACGGGGATCCCAGAACCTCTTTCATTCCATTCATTTTCTTCGTCTACCTTCCACAAAGGTTTTCAAACATTTAGCATGTTATTCGGTTTCTGATTGAGGGTTTCGCGTTCTTTGTGAATGTCGCAGATTGGTGGTTGACTCGGTTCTAGTTACGTTCTCGGAGATCGATGCGCTAAGTCCTCACGTGGTTTACGGGAAGGCGTCGGGATGTGATCGAACCAGAACTTTGCTACTTGATGGACTGCATCACTAACCAGTAACGAAGCCGTTCACGCATATTTTATCACTCACCTAATATTATGACTAAAGAATATTAAGCAAAACATTAAATATAGGTGCACAACAGATCTGTGCTCTGGTCGAGAGGAAATTGTAGAACCTTGCACTAACATAACCAAGTGCAATACGTAAAGAGCACAATAGGTGATCAAAAGGGACACTACATGCAAATGAAGAATAGGAGCCAGACATATTGCTTCGTTAAAGGAAAACTTACAAAGCGAGCCAAAGAATAGTTTAAAAGTAGGATTTAGAAAGCAGTGACGCAGAAAAAAGGTAGATAAACGATGAAATCGCTCGTCTTCGTTAAGTCTCTCAACTTCACGCACTTCGAGAAAGTTTTAAACCCATGAACGACAGACAGACCCAAAACACCTGGGGTTTTTAATTAGTATCAAGTTTGCTACTTCTGTGTCACAGACAAGCACAGATTGGAACACGAAGACTTTAAGTGCAGATTTTTTGTTTAAAAATCTCCAGAACTGCTGTTATTTGTAATTCGACTCATTTTAGTACGACGGATATGCCTCATGCCCTTTGGTGATCGACAAGAAAAGGGCGATTCTTGCCGAATTTAGCCCGCAAGGCCGTATGGAAACCACACCATTGGACCAGAGTATCCCAAGGTAAGTAAAACCCATGTAACATTTTCCGTGTCTGTTCTCATTATGATCTATAGCACATTACTTTCAGACACCACCCGTTTTTGATGAAACGCTACCTCATGCCATTTCTCTATTGGCGATTTCTCGTCAAAGGCCGTTGGAATGGACCAGCAACAATTCGCAAAATTCTGCATCTTGGCTTCGTTCCGAAAAAGTGATTTCAGCTAACAACTATGTAAATAAAGTTTCTATTTCAAAGTAATCATGGGCGTTGTAAATATCAATTTTATCAGTGTTCTGTTTATTTCACGTGGGAACCGTCTTCGACGTAATATTGGGAAACCGAGAATAAAATCGAAGCTTTCTGGAACAACAGCTAATGGTCTTACTTTGGTGTCACAGCTTACCGATGGGGTTACGCAAAGTTATTACAATGCTTTATTGAGAAAAACGCCTTATTGTCATCGTCTTCGTTAGAGCGGAGGTGATTCAAGACAAGTTTTCCTGCGACAAGTAGAGGGGAACAGCACATGCATTTCTTTCTTGATGTCACCATTAGGATAAAAGAAAAACAAAGCAAGGGCCTCAGTGGTACAGTGGGCAACATATGACCCTTCAGGAAGGGTAATCGCAGGTTTGAATCCGGGATGAGGGCTGAGCTTTTGTTTTGCAAATATCTCAGCTTCATTGTAGTTACAGTTCTTATTTGTTTTCTTTTGTTTTCCGCTATTGTCGACATTCCATTAGTTAGTGCCACCAAAAGACAGCACAGATGCGGTAATTTGGACGAGCCGAGTACTTGTAAATTCCTTAGAAAAGACCTCTTTTGCTTTCTTTTTCAACGAACAGCGATATGGCGATATGCTATAGAGCCAACGGATAGACCACTTTTAGTAATTGTTTCATTGGCTTCCAGGCATTCCATAGAGGTTATTGTGTCCTGGGTGGGCTGGCTTCGACCTCTATGCAGATCGACCTGCTATTCTTAAACTAATTCCCAACACCGACTTCTATTAATGCCAGCATTGATCAATAATTCATTGTTTTCTGGTGAGCTTATTCATGGTTATTATTGTACTATCTATTAGTAGTAGCTAACATTTTGGTGGATTTCACCATTTTAATAGCCTGGAATAGTCAAACTGACTGCAATGTAATCATGGAAATACCTTCATTACCTTAACAGGAAAACCACGATGCCTAACTTTCAATCGGATTGAAAACAAAGCAGTTACTTTACACACTCAGTCTCCCCTATGAGTCTTCCACTGCGTACTCCTCGTGAAGACCAACCGTACAGAGCTAATATGAATGAGTATAGCCCTCCTGAAGGATTGCATAACCTGCTCAAACTTTAGATGATCCGTGAATTATTTCGCACAATTGACAGGGCTGGCAATTGGCCAGTGGCTGGCACCAAGCCTTCCAATTACGTTCACGTCTAAAGTTAAAGCAACCATACTCAGTTTCAGGCCACTGCTCTACTGTAGATATATAGATGATTATTTTATCATCTGCTCCACACAAGAAGAGATGGACAAATGTTCTGAGTTAATGAACTAACACTCAGAGTGCACAACATTCACCCGAGAGAAATCGAAAGCAAAGTAGTTTCGATTTCTGAACGTTCAAATTAACGTATCCTTATACGGCTACATCACCATGTGGTATCGAAAACCTTGCAACGAAATATGGTGGTTCGTCACCACTCCTCTCATCGCTCTTTTTCAAAAGTTCACCTGTGAGAAACATGTTTCGAACAGCCGTCGGTTTGTGCATAGGAAGAAAACAAAAAGAAGAACTCGATGTTTTTCTTCAATAAGCAGACACGAGGTTGTTATTACAGGATTTATTAGGATACAATAGCTGACGGATCGGCGGTCGCCTTCTTCAGAGTCTGGAAAGGTTAAATTGAGATACGATCTACCCAGCCAAACACTTTCATAACCCTGGCAGATAAAACTTAACAAATAAATTTGTATTCGCATAAGAAACAGCTTCATTTAAACACTTATCGTTTATTTGTTGTAAGTATTTAAGTTAATTGATGGATAGCAGCCGCACAGAGTAATACATGGGCGATAACTGTGAATCAGGTCATTGGATTAGCCTGAGGTATGGCGCTAGGTCACGCATGATGACGATACACTCCTCCTTACGGTTCATTTTTGAATTTTTGGAATTGATCCAAAATGGAGTCGTTCGACGTTACAGCCCTTTACACTAACGTGTCGAACGACTCCGCAATGCAAGCCATCCGCAAGTTTCTTGAGCAACACGAAGGAGCAATTAACATGTATGGCTTTTCGATTCAGCAGCTTATGGTCCTCCTGAAGGTCTGTTTAAACTGCTCGATCTTCAGATGGTCCGGGAAATATTACGCGCAAATTAGAGGGTTGGCAATGGGACAGCGACTGGCACCAACCCTTGCCGTTGCCTTTATGTCTAAAGTGGAAGCACCAGTAATCGATCTCACGCCATTACTCTACTGTAGGTATATAGATGATTGTTTTGTCATCTGCTCCACACAAGAGAAGATGGACAAATGCTTTAAGTTATTGAATGAACAGTCAGAGTACATAAAATTCACCCGTGAGAAACCGAAAGAAAACTGGCTTCGATTTCTAAACCTTCAAATTAACCTATCCGAGAATGGCTACAACACAAAATGGTATCGAAAGCCAAGCAGTAAGAATATAGTGGTTCATTACCGCTCCTCTCACCCCTCACATGGCCTGCACTTTCTGATCGAACCTCTCCCGAAAACATAAATACGTTTATAACCTTACCATATTGTTGTTATTAGTTACATTAGTTTTTTTAGTATTAGTTTTTTAGTATTAGAAATTAGTATTAGTTAGTGTTACATGACAACCTCATGTCTTCTTATTGAAGAAAACATCGAATTAAGACGGTGATAGCATGAATTCGGCTACGGTTAATATCTCTTGTAGAGCGTGCGGGGAGAATATATTGACGAAACGGGTAGACTGCTATGTGTCCATGCAAAAGAACACCTATTGGGTAACTTAAGGTTCAACCAAACACTCCACTAGGCGCTCATAGACCACAGAAACATAATGGGAAGACTTTGAAGAAGAAATTAACATCCTCGCGCAGGAATCGAAAACTTCAGCGCGTCAAACCTGCGAAGCTTTGACGAATTCTAAGAACCTAAAAGTGCAGGGAGGAATTCCTCGTTATCACGCGCGATCTCATACAGTATTCAAGACGGGTATTTTAGGGTAATATTGGCACATTACCCATCAATATCAACTGTGTACTGTTGGTCTCAACATGGTACTCAGTGGACAGGCGATCATGGAAAACAGTGAATGGGTGAAAAAGCTGTTGGTTCCCAGTGCGAATAAAATTTGGGCAACATGCCTTCCCCGTTAAGGTTATAGATGTATTTTTGTGATTAGATTGCAATCAATCTGAAGAACGCGAAATTCTTTGAATCCTTAATAAAGGACAAAGAATAAAGCTCTTGGCGTTGATCAATCCCTGAGGGATGCGCTATGCATTCGACTTTATCAAGCACTGTTGGAGGAGATTGAATGCATATTTGGCTTCTGCAATGACTTACAGTGGCCTACCGATGTATCGGGCCAGTGCTGCTATCGTCCCGGACAAGTCTGGTAACAATCTGGCGATTTCGGAGGGATGCAATGCTTGGCGGACCATGGGCGAGGAGATCGATTCCACTTGTGTGTTGCAAGGTGCCTCCGACCAATGTGCCACAGGCGCCCCATCGGATCGTTAGCTACTGTAAATAAGTGGTATAATAGCAACCTTGTATATGCGTATCAAAAAAAAAACAGTGAATTGTTGGTAATCTTACATCGGTACTTCGATACATCTGATAAATTTTATTCCAAACTTCGAAAATTCTTACTATAACAAGTTGAATTGAGCACCAATTTACAACTGAGAGCAATCTATTAGACATTGTTGTTCACTATGAAAGGACCAACTTTGCAACATGAAAGCTTGAACCGTGCGTTTGTTGGTCAAGATTATTTCCGATGATTTGGTGTTTCAAAACTCAAAATTTCTTTCCCTTCTCATGGTTTCCCGCTTTTCAGTATGAATCGACGTGATATTCGGGAACATTTCCTTTGGGGTAAAATCGTTAGCCTACAGTATCTCCTTGAAACGGAAGGTCTTCGAACATTTTCTTCAACGAAAAACTCTTTGTCGTTACAACCACAACGTTGCTGAGATATTTGCAAAACTCTGGACCGCAGGTGTCTATGACATTTGGGACCCGCATGGTGTGGTGGTGAACGCGTTACTCCCCGGGGAAAGGATAACAGCGAGTTCGTTCCCCACCATAGACACCTGCGGTCCAGAGTTTTGCAAATATCTCAGCAACGTTGTGGTTGTATTTCGCTTAGTAACCTGCCATGAAAATTATAGAAGGCAGAAAACAAAACGTTAAACATCTTTGTCGTTAGTTTGAAAAGTTAGAAATTGTAGATGAAAGTTTCGAAAGCAATAGTCATGGATGCCACAGGCTTAGGGCTAAAGTTGAGGAATGCGCAGAGCGAGAGAGACGTTAACTGAAGTGGACCCACAAAAGTGGCTGTTCAATACCCAGCTAGAAAAATTCAAAGTGTAAAACAATCCCGAATTTCTTAAAAGAGTCAAAGGAGTGGGAAAAATGGGTTCCGCCAATATCACATTGTTCCATGCTGAAAGAACGGTTGGTAAGAAACATTTGGGACTAAGCTAAAGAGATCGGATAAAAGTGGAAATTTCATATTGCATAGTCGGGAATACCATAGAGAACACTCTACTATGTACACTCGTAAAAGCTGAAAAGAATTATGCGAAATTAGAAAAAAAGACACAGAATTAAAGTTCGCGGGATTGTCATGAAACACATGGGTGATATTTTTCTACATGAGGATAGATACTAAGCAATCTGGAAACTTAGTACTAGACACAAATCATCTCGATCATTGTGACACCGAGAATGTCCTTGGAAAGATGGATGACTAGATTTCCACTTGAACATATTCTCGTCTCCTATTCTGGTTACCTTGAACCTCTTCAAGTTCGTCAAATGCTTCCGTTAGCGGTTGGAATGTCGGTGCTGTGAGGCGTGCTTGAGAACACTGCAAAGAAGATAGTGTAAGATGAAGGAAAAAAAGAATAAACCTTCAGGTGTTGACCAATCCCTAAGGGATGCTCGGTGTATTAGACTTAGCGAAACGTCGGTAGAGTCATTGGACAGGTATCTGCTCTATACCTGCAGTAGCAAATCGATTGAAATCAAGTCAGTGTTGGTATACTCCCAGACAAATCGGGTACCGATTTACCGACCCCAAAGGTATGGAAGGTTTACTGAATCCTAGCCAATGGATCGAACTAACGATTACATGTGCTAACTTTTTACGGGGTCAACTTTCTATTAACGTCAGCACTGGAATATGAATGCGTCGTTTTCTTGTTCAGCAATGGCGAGGTTGTTAAACAGCATACATTTACTTCGGTAGAAAAACACAATACAATACAACAGCAGCTGATGTTTCGGCAGTATCCCCTTCTTAAGAGCATGGAAGGGTATACTGATATACAATCTACTAGACCAAATGCTTCAATAACACCTACAAAAAGACGAAAAACTCTACGGTAATTACAGCTTCGTGAAAATCGCACCGCTTCTTACGTGACTTCCAATGAAGAAGATTAGAACAGCTGATTATAGTAGCATTTGGCTGATGACTGCACCATCCCATATCAGGAATCGATGCGAACATACGGAGTCAGGTCGCGTATGACCTCTGGGCATTCATCCCTGCTATTCATTGTAGGGTTTTTGGCATTTATCCAAAAAGCCTCGAGAAGTTTTCGCGCTGGTGTTTTAGTCTCCTATGCAAGAATATTGACTTCTACTTCAAAATCGTCTCCGCTATGCTTTTGTATCCTATGCGTGCCTAGTGGGGTACTTCGTCTTAGTTTTCGTTTGCCATCTAGGTGTTCTCTTATACGGATACACAAAGGTCTGCCCATTTCGCCAATATATTCATCTCCGCAATTAATACAAGAAATCAGGTAAGATAGATTCCTGCCGTAAGGACAAATTACGCAATTTGTTGTTTCACGTAGACGGTCATACAGGCGGTTACGAACTAATTGACGACATAGAGTAGCCGGTGGTATTTCATAAAAGTCGTATAAATTCATAAACTCATCTAAAAGTCAGTACCGAAAGCTAAACAATCAATGTGTGGCAATGGCTGCAGGTTTAAAATCATCGGTTATTTCGCACTTTAAAATTGGTAAATCAACATATCCTACCGCGATAGAAAGTTTATCTCTAACCTTACAGCCTCACAGAAATGTGGCATGCGGGAAATTAGAGAATTAATAAACTCGAAAACAATAAGATTGTCTGTTAGTGATAAAGGGGAGAGTTCGTAGTTATCCCTCGCCAGCTGGATGTTGAGGCAACAAAGGAACATCTTAGTGATGCTACTCTCTATCGCCCATCCTCTGAAAAGGAATATAAGAGTCAACACCGAAAACAATCAATGGGTCAGCGTGGCAAAGGCTGCGGGGTTAAAATCGTCGGTTATTTCGCACTTTAAAATCGATAGACCAACATGCCCCGTCCTATACCTACTTATTAAAACACATAAGTAGGTATCACCTGATGATCTTGCGTCAACCAATCCGTCATCGTTTAAGGTTAGACCGATCATCAGCTGTGTAGACGAGCCAACGGATAGAGTAACCTGGTTTTTAAGCCCAACACTTACCCAGTTGCTTAACCACATTCCAGCTGACCTCACAAACACCCAAATGTTCCTAAAACGTCAACGTAACGCGCCTCCTAATAACGCGTACGTGATGAAGTCGTTCGATGTTACCGCGCTGTACACCAACGTATCGAATGACTTCACAATGCAAGCCATTCACGAACTTCTTGTTGAACATGAAGGAAGTGTGTTGAACAGGAAGGAATAAAAATGCATAGCTTGTCCATTCAGCAACTTATGGCTTTCTTATAGGACTGCCTAAATTGCTCGATTTTCAGATTGCGAGGGAAATATTTCGCGCAAATAAGGGAGTTGGCAATAGGACAGCGATTGGCACCGTGCCCTGCAATTGTGTTTATGTCTAAGATAGAAACCCTGTTCTCGACCTCCGGCCATTACTCTACTGCAGATATGTAGATGATTGTTTTGTCGTCTTCTCTGCGCAGGAGGAGATGGACAAACGCTTCGAATTATTAAACGAGCAGTCCGAGTACATAAAGTTCACCCGGGAGAAACCGAGAGAAAACTGGCTTCCGTTTTTGGACGTCCAAATAAACCTATCAAGTAGCGGTTACCTGACAAAGTGGTACCGAAAGCCAAGTAACAAGAGCATTCTTGTTCATTTCCTTTCTTCCCACCCTTCACACACAAAGAGGGCGCTTGTGAGAAACATGTTTCGAACAGCCACCTCTGTGTGCACAACCAGGGAACTAAAGTAGGAATCGCGCGACTTGGCTCGGCAAATAACCATCTCCTATGGCTACGAAATAGTTACCGCACAAAATAAGTTTAAAAGGAGAGCAACGCGCCCAAGCGAAAGACTTGGCCAAAAGAAAGTCCCGTTCATGTTGCCTTTTATAAGCGATGAAGTACGTGTAGCTAATAAACGATGCTTAAGAAAGGCAGGTCCAGAGGAATCGGTAGCGATAGTTGAAATAACACCGATACTCTACGCCAATTAGTTCGTAACCGCCTGTATGACCGTCTATATGAAACAACAAATTTCGTAATTTCCCTTTACGTCAGGGACAGTCATTGCATGAGCTCAGGCACAATATACCTGATCTCCTGTAATAATTGAAAGACGAATATATTGGCAAAAGCGGCAGACCGTTGTGTATCTATATAAAAGAACACTGGGCACGCATAGGATACAAAAGCATAGCGGAGACGATTTTGAAGTAAAAGTGAATATCCATGCACAGGAGACTACAACACTAGCGCGAAAACTTCTTGAGGCTTTTTGGATAAATGCCAAAATGAATAGCAGGGATGAACGCCCAGAGGTCATACGCAACCTAACCCCGTATGTTCGCATCAATTTCTGATGTGGGATGATGCCACATGATGTCATCAACCATATGCGACTATAATCAGCTGTTCTAATTTTCTTTATTGGAAGTCACGTAAAAAGCGGTGGGCTTCTCACGAAGTTGTAATTATCATAGTGTTTCGTCTTTTTGCAAGTGTTATTGAAGCGTTTAGCCTAGTAGATTGTATATCAGTATACCCTTCCAGGCTCTGAAGAAGGCGACACTGCCAAAATGTCAGCTACTGTTGTATTGCATTGTGTTTTTCTATGGAAGTAAATGTATTCTGTTAACTTTTAACTTACTGTCTATAACAATTTTTCACGGGCGGGTATTATGTGTGAAGCAACCACAATGATGCTGGGATATTTTCAAAACTTCAGAATGAAGGTGTCTGCGGTGACGCAGGAACACCCTATTACGCTTTCGGAGGGCTAACACGTTCAATACCACCCCATGTAGATCCTTCTTTTCACCTGTCTCTCAGCTAGTTCCATCGATCAGTGCCATCTTCAATCACTCGTCAACGTCAACAGTAAATAAATAGGAAGTTAACATTGTGATTTCGACTACGACCTCAGTTAGTTAAACTTAGCTAGTTAGTTCAGTACCGATTTGGGTTTCCCAGATCAATCATGTTGACGGGTTATTGATGATGGCACTGATAGATCGAACTAGCCGAGAGACAGGCGAAACGAATGACCCGCATGGTGTGGTGGTGAACTCGCCAGCCCCCGGAAAGGGAATTGCGCATTCGTTTCCCATCGCAGACACCTGTAGTCTGGAGTTCTGCAAATATCTCAGGATCATTGTGATTACGTGGTTTGTAGGATCACTCATTACTAGGCTATAGACTCCCTGGCTTACCACGGATCTCCCTCATATGAGGGATGTCCAGTCGGTTAGTCGCGAGGCTAGGTGGCGCGTCCGCAGGTGGAGGATAGGGGGTTAATCGCGGAACAAAAGCGACCTTTGCTTCCCTGAGACGCAGATGGATCCAGGGAACGAATTCCCTGTTTCCACTGCGCCGATTTGGCACATTCTTTCTGTATCTGCTGGGAGTATTAATGCAAGCGTGTGTGGGTACGTTCTTGCTTATGCGGATTGTATTATACAAATCAATTTGGCCAAAAGCCTGCAATCAAGTGACTGAGAAGTATATAGGACGCGGTTAGGAATCCCCTCCAACAGATAAGCTCCATGTCCACTCCGGGAGAGTCTGGCTAGCTACCCTTCAGTATACCCAGCCTCCACGTTCAGAGCCCAGCAAGCTATACGTGGGTATCAAAAAGCTACAAGCAGTAAAAAAAAAACAGGTTTCATTCTCCTGACCCCGAAAGAGCCCCAATTTCGCAGCGTTGGGTAGAACGAGTACGGAGAGGCTGCCGAAATCTCAGGGCCAATGGAAGCTGCCTGGATTTCAAAGAACTATGGTGACGATCTGTACCTACAATGCACGTACACTTGCATCCGTGTCCTCGATAGAGGACTTCCTCATGCAAGCAAGAAGGATAAGGTACGATGTCGTCGGCTTGGCCGAGACAAGGCGACGCCGCCCATTCAATGCCGTCTATGACACCGGAGAAGAACTGGCCTTCGGAACATGCGACAGTAGAGGAGTCGGTGGTGCCGGCGTTCTCGTTAACACGACTTTGTCCATGAACATCAATTCATTCGAGCAGGTTACAACCCGAATTGGACGTTAATCATTAAAAAGATCTGAATCAATACCGGCTTTGACGATCTTCAACGTTTACGCGCCGACATCAAACTATAACGAAGAAGAAGTCGAAGTGTTCTATATGGACTTGGAAGAGTTCTAAAAAAAAGATCATACATTATTCAAGGTCATCATTGGAGATTTCAACGTCAAGATTGGACTAAGAAGAACGTCTGAAGAACGTCACATGGGGATCCATGGATTAGAATGGAACGAACAGAGTGAGCGGCTATCTGAGTTTATTATGGCGACCAAGACCATCCGTGATAACTCGCAATTCCAGAAGCCCCACCCTCAACGCTGGACGTGGGAGTCTTCCAATGGAGAATACCATAACGAAATAGACCACGTCATAGTAAATAAAAGGTTTTGCCTAAATGATTTCGCTGTTGTCCCAAAATTCTGCAAGCGATCAGGTCACCGTCTCCTTCGTACAAGACTCGCGGAAATTTCTCGCGAAAGCAGAAAAAGCTGCTAAGTTCAAAAACCAACGACGGACTTATTCAATTCATAAGCGGGCTGCTGGGAAGATGCCGTTGTCGATAACAACGACGAAGAATACAATCGGCTCATTCAACATCTTCACGTTAGCGAGAATTCGAAAGTCACCAAGCGACGTCTGTCTCCAGAAACACTCGAGCTGATACGCCAGCGTGGAATCGCACGAGCTGCAGGCAATCTAGCGTCCGAACTTACAAAACAATGCAGAGACAGGTGATAAAAGAAGATCTTAAGGAGAGAAGTGCAGCAGTAATCGTCGAAGCCGCAGAGGCTGGGAAAAGCATTCGCAAAGCCCACCGAAGCTTCGCCAATTACAACACCAAAATGATTGCACTCCGGCACTCATACGGAACAGTTACAGCGTCCAAAAAAGCAATGGAAAGAATCATTCACGAATAATAGTCAGATCTCTTCGATAGCCACGTCCACCATCCGTCATATGAAATAGAGGGAGATGGGCATGTTGTATCAACGGTTCTCCCTTCCCAAATCCGACAGGCCACTTCGTCGGTGAAAATCGAAAGCACGAGCTCCGCACAGGATAAGACCAGAACACCTGAAGAATCTTCCACTAGTCCTCGTAAACACACTGGCTCGGCTCTTCACATATCACCTGTCTGAACGCAATGCCTCTACTCAGTGAAAGACCAGCAAGACCGTGTTATTGTTCAAGAAGAGTGACCCACATCACATAAGCCACTATCGTGCAATCTGCTTGTTGCCTGTCGTCTACAATCTTTTCATTCTAGTCCTCTTAAACAAGATTGACAGAACACTAGACGAAAGACAGCCATGTGAGCAAGCAGAGTTTCGAAAAAGATTTAGTACGATGGACCACATCCACACGATAAAAAGGCTCATTGAAGTATCGCGAGGGTATATAAGACCACTCTGTCTCACTTTCATCGATTTACAGAAGGCCTTTGATTCGATTGAGATAGAAGCAGTCATTGAAGCCCTTGATAGTCAAGGAGTCCCTACTCAGTACATAAAGATTCTTGGTGAGTTGTACAAAAATTTCACAACAAAGATATCACCATTCTACTACGATATTAACATTGACGTCAAAGGAGGAGTTAGGCAAGGTGATACCATCTCGCCAAAATTATTTACCGCCACCTTCCAGAACGTCATGGGAACATTGGAATGGGATGATATGGGAGTGAAAATCGACGGTCGGCAGTTACACCATCTTCGTTTTGCTGATGACATCGTCCTTATAACATCAAACATTAGCCAAGCTGGACGTGTGCTTGCCGACTTTGATAAAGTCTGTGGAAAGATTCGTCTTCAACTAAATCTCACAAAAACGATGTTCATGCGAAACGGATTGATTTCGTATGTCCCATTTACGCTCAACGGACCGAATATCTCCGAATGCTCCACTTATATCTATCTAGGTCGTGAAATCGATATGATGAACGACTTAGCTCCTGAGCTGAGCAGAAGGAGGTGAACGGCATGGTAAGTTTTCAAGAGCATCGAGGATGTAGTGAAGAGAACAAAGGACACCCAACTCTGTACCCACTTTTCGACAGAACGGTACTTCCTGCGCTAACGTATGCTTCAGAAACCTCGTCGCTGCGTAAGCAGGATGAAAGGTTACTCAGCGTTATCGAACGGACAGTCGAAAGGACGATGCTAAGAGTAACGCGTGTCACCCAACAAAGAGATGGGATCCGAAGCTCCGACCTGTGTCAACGATCAAAAATCAAGGATGCCGTTCTGTACGCTAAACTGCCGAAGATAAGGTGGGCCGGACACGTAATGCGTATGAATGACAACCGATGGACAAAAAACGTTAATGACTGGATTCCTCGGGATGTCAAACGTACTGCAGGAAGACCACCGATTCGAAGGTCAAAGTTCTTCACGAAGAGTCTAAAAGAAAAGTATGATGCTCGACGAGTCCGTAGAGCGAGCAGAACCCACTGGGCTACTCTTGCACGCGACAGGGAAAAATGGACGATTTACTGGCGCCCGCTCGAGTCACTCGATGATCAAGGGGATTACAGGTGACAGGTGATACATACTCCCTGGATGGAGAAAGAATTGAATTTAACATAAAATTAATAATGCCGAGATAGGCACTTCAGTTTAGATATGAGCGTTCTAGATGAGTTGCGCATCAAGAAATGTGGAAACTATGCAGTAGCATACCTGATAGAACCCTTCGAGCTTATCTGCGCTCTCTGATATTTGTGCTGAAGGTAGTACGTCGTCTAATCGTGCATACGTGTATTCATTTATAGCCGAATCGATAGTATCTGGTCTATGGAGTCTGTAAATCACACGCATTTGCACACATACGATAATGAACAAAATTATTCCTCGGATAATGCAAAGCTTACAGAACAATGACAAAACAACATGAGATCTCGTGAAGGACCAGTTATAACTTACCGTGGACGCGAGAGATTCAGATTGGGGTTTACACCAATTGAGATCAGATATTCGGTGATCGAGCTGTTCACCGACGCTGAGTCTTGGTCAATACCGGAGTCCGGTTGAGAACGTGTAGATGTACCTTCGCGATGAGAGATCAGTGAGTTACGAAGTGCCGAATTCGACAACGCTGACGAGGAACTGGAGGTGGACTGCAACAGAAACATATGGAATATCCAACGTAGTTTCATCTTTCAGAACGAGGATTACACATCTAGGTTACTCTGTTACTTTTTAGTCTGTGAATGGAAGTTTTCACAGACTCGTACTAATGAAAAGAAACCAAGTGCCGTTAAAGTTACTATCAGTAGTAGCAGTCAGGTATTGTTTTAGAAACTTTTAGTTGATGACAACCAACCTTCTGAACGATGTTACTTGGTAGGTCCTGCTTTGACGAACACGCGAGACGACAAACACCTTCTCTGCTAATCTCCACATTTCGACCCCGACTCACAGAGTACGTCTGAACGAAAATTTCTGCATACTTCATATTTCCAGAGAATTCGACAGAGTAATAGACAAACCTGTTTATGAGGACTATTGACCTCTTCAAGCTTCGATGATTGATAACCAAACAAACAGCAACCAAGCAAGCAAGCCAGTAATACTGCTAAAACAGCGATGGCTGCGGCGCCGATTTTGAAGATGTTCGACGATAATGACGAGTTAGCCGTGCTCAGCAAAAAATCGCCTATCTGGAACGTTAACCTAGATACACAACTCTCCTATATCTTGTAACGAATCACAAAAATTCAGTGAAAAGAACCAGAGTAACTTAAAGAGTAGCTTAACTTAAAGAGAAGAGTAACAAAATAACTTAAAAGTTGGGCCACCTGCGCCAAATAAGGTAAAAAAAAGAAAATAAAGTAATAAAAAAAATTAGGAATGAGAAAGATAGTAAAACTCGTAATAAGAAAAGTTTGCTGTGCTCTAGCGGACTATTGACCTACCCAACAGTTTACCGCCTTATCGTGGGTGGGAGGTTCTCCTGGGTGTCGGACTGCGATTACATCGTAGTTCATCTTCCCAGCAGAGCCTTCTAGGCTGAGAAGGAGTCCGGCTTTTCCATCAGAAAGCCCAGATAAGAGCTAACCAATGCCAGGGTCCACCACCGTCCTGGTTCGAAATGTTGGCAAATGTCCTTCTAATCCATAAGGGCTGCGACTGCCTGTGGTGGTAAAGGCTTGAGGCAGGCTTTGGCCAAGCTGACCTCGGGACTGCAGGGAGCCAAATTGGTTAAACCAGCAAAACTCCGACAAATTGGAGGACATGCTGAGCCCGCACAACCAGTGATGACGGGCCGTCCACGTATCCAAGCATCCGAGCAAGCAAAATATTATTATGTGGTTTATTCTTCATATAATACCTCAATATGAAAATGTTCAGAGTGATTAAAACCGCTCCAACCTCAAGATTGATGACAGCTCTGGTCTGTTGGATATGACTACTCGCTGCGATCACCGTAATTTGTTGTACTGTATTATTTCTTCTCCCATCGGGTTTCGCTTTAAGCAATACCTAGAAGCTTCTCATGAACTTGTAATAATTGATGACAGCGTAGTAAATTTAGAGACAGCGTAGTGAAATAGCTTACCACTCCTGAACTCTTCTCCACCGTAACCAAATCACTAAGTGGTTCGATTCGGTATTCAGGGATACCGTGCACACCGCCGTCGGCATCTACAGCATGCACCTCACCGACTATAGTTCCGGACGCGGCCTCAAGAGGTATCTAAATGTAATGAGTTCATTCCCTCGAAGGAATCTTCAAGAACTTCAACGGAATCAGAAAGAAAACTCTCAATTTGCAAAGGTTCTCGAATATTATCCTTCTAACGATCCTGTTTAACGATTACGTGAAAATGTGTGGAATACAAGCAATGTGAAGGTAGAAAAGAAATTATCACCGCAGACTCTTGGTATTAGAACTAACTAGAAAACAATGAAACACATAGGAAAAAGGTTTTCGAAAGTGTTAAATAATCAATCGACGCTAGGAGAAACCCAATGAAATGAATGTTGTATAAAAATGGTATCACTCATGTACCAGTAGAATGTAAAGGAAGGTTTTGGAACAGCAAACAAACGTGCGTGTTGATCTAAATAAGGAAAGGTGGGTAATCGACGAAGACGTCAGAGCGATCTCCTACGTCACTTTTTCATTATAGTCTAAAATATTCTTGAAGAAAACTATTCTATCAGACATACGAAGAATTTTAAGTGGAATACTAATTGGACAAAAACCATTTCGATACTTTGCAACATGGACCATATCAAAACAACATCAAAATTTCCAGATTGAACTTTTACTTCCTCGGAATATCATTTCATTCTCATTATAAGCATTGTGGACTACGAAAAAAGCACTGGGAAACGGTGAAGCGAACTACACCATTGGTGCACGACTACAAACAGCGAAATTCTCAAGCAATCGCAACTGCATCGTGACGATGCAGATCTTCTATGGTCTGTAACGATTATGGAGAAAAGGAACAGAGTGCAAGTAGGATACTCAGCTCAAAAAGGTTTGGTTGGGATGATATCATCTGGAATGCTCAATGAGGAAGACTGATTTGAAGGAGAGACTGTGCAAAAGATGGATAGCGAAATGAGTAGACAACGGTAGCTTTTGTGTCAAACATTTCTTAAAGTAAAATCATGGAAACATAAACAAACAAGTTTAAATTCTGTCCACTCAAAACGATTTTAAAAAAAAGGCATCGCTTCTTGCCTACCGATCAGGGTTCTAGTAAAATCGATGGCTGCTTTTTTCCTGCAATTTCCAGAGTTTTCTTAAATTAAAAACGATACCTGGAAGGTATAACTGGACTGGGTGAACACCGGCGAAAACTCATCCACTGGCAAAACAATGAATTTAAGTGAAACAACAGCAGATCTTGCCTGAAAAAACTATTCCTTAAAGAAATATCAGAATTAAGTTTGATGTGACAAAGTAAGTGAAGAAAATGGTGAATCATGTAAGGTGAGAAAGTTCGAGAAGAGTCTATGAGCTAACATTCCCATCTGATGCTACTACAGACATTTGGTAAGAAGTTCTTGTTTCGAAGTCCAGACCATGCCTTAGACGAATCGAGCCATCGATTGGATGGATCGCGAACGTCTAAAAAGATACAAGATGAATATGAAAGAGAATATTTTCATGAAGAAATGCCTCAAGTGAACAAGATTTACATAGCGGTTCCCAAGACCGACTTTCTGCTAACTTCGGCATTGATTGATAATTCGATGTTTTTCTTCAATAAGCAAACACGAGGTTGTTATTACAGAATTTATTAGGATACAATAGCTGATGTCTCGGCGGTTTCGCCTTCTTCAGAGCTGTTTATTCGCTGCAACTATTTTAGTTAGTTGGTGGATAGCAGTCGCACGAGGACAGCCATTGCCCATGTATTACTATGTGGACAGTCGTCGCCCATGTATTGCTATCTAATTGCGGTTGATATCCCCCAACTAATTAGAATACGTACAACGAATAAACGGCTCTGAAGAAGGCGAAACCGCCGGAATATCAGCTATTGCGTCCTAATAAATTCTATCATAACAACCTCGTGTCTGTTTATTGAAGAAAAACATTGAATGGATTTATAACGTTCTTCCTGGCTATGCTTCATTTCCATGGACTATAGCAGAGGTGCTAAAATAAATCCCTTCAAAGTTATTTCGGTAAGATTTCGTTATTTGTATCCTAGTCAGTACCCTCGATGAAATAAAATTACGTAAATATCTATTCAAAACTAATTTGGTACCATTCTCAACATGGGTTTAATTTAATGGCGATCAAACCTACAAACTAAAATGCTTGGAAGTTCCGTACACACGATGGATGGATTACATTCTAGCAAATTTCAAAAGAATGCCGCTTTTAGGATTTCCAAGTGGTTCTCTTCTCCCAAGACGATGCCCAACAGCATCTTCCCATGCCGTTTTCAATTACAAATACACATGGTTAACGTGAAGCACAATAAAATCCGCTTATTTTGCATTCAGACCATGAAGACAATGTAATGTCTGAGAAGCTTGCTGTTACATTTGACATTGTGTTAACCATTTCTTATACTGTATTCACCAATTATGCACCCAACTACATCTTTCAGACGACATCTGTACAACGCATAAGATCGACAGTGTAGCTAAAGTGATAGACAATGTCCTCACTGTATGGCAGAATACTGAGAGCATTGCTAGCTAAAAAGATAGGCGCAAAGTTGTGGGATCATCCAGGTGGATGACTTCTTTGAGAAAACCGAAATCGGTTTAAATCGTCTTTCTTCTTCTCCGAAATTGTTGCCTTATATGACTTTTCATTCCCATTGAAGAATTTTGCTCTATTAGACTACTTTTCCTATGACGATAGCAAGTAGTCAACAGGTGAGTCGTATTCTTGTGACACAATTTCTATGCCATTTCTGAACAATCCTTGTGTTCGTCAACTCCACTCCGTAACCGACGATTACCTGGAGAATGCAGCACTACGACGAGATGGCAGATTCCCATGATCCTAAGTATGATGTGTTCCACATAGCAAAATTCGATGAAATCTTGCTTGCTCAACTGGTGCATCTTCAACCAAATTGCTTGGTATAAATGAGAGATCAGTGTTTTTAAAAACTTGTAAAGCGCTTTAAACAAGAAGGTGACTACGAGGTTTACATTTATATTAAAACATAGTTTAATCTAATGGTACTCTATGAATGGCATCGTTGAACTACCTGATCTGGGTTCAATGCCGATTTGGGCTCCCCAGATCAATCCAGTTGACGGGTGATTGCTGATGGCAAAAGATCAATAGAACTAGCTGAGAGACAGGCAAAACGAAGGACCCGGATGCTGTGGTGGTGAAGTGCATTACTCCCCGGTAAGGACAATAGCGCGTTCGTTCCCCACCGCAGACACCTGCGATCCAGAGTTTTGCAAACATCTCAGCATTATTTACAGATTACCTGATCGTTGTCCTTTAATTGATAGCGAATAGTTTTCATTGATATCCCGTAACGATTAGTAGCTCTGGCTGTGAACACTGGTCTGTCAATGGGCGCATTCTCCGAGACCACTACTTGATAAGACGGAATGACGAAAAATGGCGCCATGCCCGACCAGCTTTTCAGCTCGACAACAATGAGCAGTGCGAGAATAGATGCCCTAAACATACAACGGTGAGTTCAGAAAACAAGGGATTGTCCTGGGTGTGGAACGACCGTCACACTTCAAAAAACACTCTGGAAGCTTAGGAGCGTAATTGTATGGTCATTAATCCATCTATAAAAGTTATTAAATGTGCAATCAACAACAAGCTCGAAACAAAACAGTTGAGCTGCTTCAAAGGAATGCTATTTCTTTTAGGGTTAGTCTATATCAAGAATACGTTTCTTCTTTTCTCTTTCTATCCTCTTTGTTAAGAAAGAAGTCGCTAATATTGAAGACAGCAGATTTTTGTGTGGTCTTAAATGTGATTGGAGTGTTGGTCAATGCTTAAGCTGTCATTTTATGTAACAAAGATAATTCATAGTCAACATAGTTCCAATACCTCATCGTGTTTTTTTTCCACTGGTAAGTCCAAACAACTAGTCGCTGAGAGCGACGGCAGAGGATTCCAGAGCTCACCTTGGAATTCTACCGTGATCGCGCGCCTCCACATAGAGAATCCATTTGCCGTCCGTGTGTTTGAGAAGTTGTTCATCGTCCAACTGATTGAAAATCAACGCTCCACCTTCGGATTCAACCGTAAAAATATTGTAGTCGTTTCCCGAAACAATACGGTAGCTTACACGGCCATTTTCTCCCGCATCGAGATCTACTGCTTTAAGCCTGAATTAACCACCTTTTGTTTTATTCCATGCACTCTTTAAAAATCTGAACGTATAGATAAATTTTTATCTCTAATAATAAAGAAAACGGCCATAAGCTATGCTATAGGTTACGATAAAGGATAAAGCTCTAAGCGTTCATCAATCCCTGAGGGATGCGCCATGCTTTCGGCATCATCAAGTATCGTTGGAGGTGATTGAAAGCGTATGTGGCCTTTACAATGACTCACGGTGGCCTACCGATGTATCTAGCAAACGTTGCTATACTCCCAGACAAGTCTGGCACCAATTTGCCGACCCCGGAGAGATGGAAGGCTTGGTGGGCTATAGACGCGGGAATCGATTCCACTTGGGTGCCGCAGTGGCGTCTCCAACCACTGCGCCACACGTTCCCTACTATAGGTTATAAGATATGCAAACTATTGCCATCGTGAGGGCATGCAGCGCAGCAGTAGTGGTGCTGACCAGCAGTGAGAGCACGCTCTAGTTCAACTTCGCACGGAAATCACTACTGATTCCCACCATCTGTGCGAATTTGCCAGATTTGTATAGGACCAGGTGGCTTCCTTCAATCCAAGAAGCTGGCGACTGCCCGTGATGAAGATATATGAATGCGCTAGCGTGGCTACGCAATGGTTTAGGCAAAACATTTTAGGCTCCCATTATGGAAAAAACTCCACATGGCATCCAGGAGTCTGCAAGATTTCTGGTAGACTAAACCGCCGAGTAGAGTCTTTCTATTCATTCCCAAAATCACCAAAATCACCTCAGCTTGTTTTTAAATATGAACAAAATGCTTGTACAAAGAAGAAATGCTTTTTCAGTGTTAACTTTTTATTCGCCACCAACTACAATTTTTCACGGCTGAGTATTACGTGAAATGCAACCATAATGATGCTGAGATATCTGCAAACCACCCGACCTCAGGTGTCTGCGGTGGGGAACGAACGGGCTACTACCCTTTCCGGTGGCTAACGCTTTCAACACCATACCATACGATCTTCGTATTGCCTGCCTCACAGGTAGTTCTCCTATCTACTAGTTCCATAAGCGTAAACCCCCCGTAAATGGGATAGGGTAATTTTTGATTCGATTCCATTTTGGCTCGTTTGGCTGGAGCTCCGGATCCCTACTCTCATTTGTGTGATACGGGATACTCGTCATTTCGATTCGCGTTCTGCAACGCTAAGTGGTCCCGCAGCGACCAGGTTTCTGACGAACACCCTGAGGCAGAAAGAATCGTGGACTCCAAAAAGTGGGCACAGAGTCGGGTCTTCTTTGTTCTGTTCACTACGTCCCCAAGCCCTAGGTTTCTATAAAGAACAACTGTGGACAGTAGACTCTGGTCAAACGAGCAAAAAGGTGAGGGAGCAGAAACATTCACCAAATAAAGTTCTCCATCAACCAAGTGTCCGCTTACCAATGAAAAACACAGGGGTCGAAAGCTTTCCTCAAATCGACAAAAGTGAGACAAAGTGGTCTCTCGTACTCTTGCGTTCCTTCATGAACTCTCGTCATCATGTGGATGCGGTTTATCGTACTGAAACCTTCTCAGAAGCCTGGTTGCCCACATGACCATTCCTCGAAAGGTTTTCTATCCATCCTGTTGACGATGAGTGAGGAGCTCGAGTGAATAGTTTATAGACGACAGACAAAAAGGAGCTTTGGCTATAGTTGACAATGTCATGGAGGTCTTCCTTTTTGAACAAAGAACACAATCCTGCAGGCCTTTTATTGAATAGGAATATTGCATTCTGACAAGTCACGTGCAAGCAGAGGAATAGTGTGTTGATGAGCCTCGGCGAAAGGTTCTTCAGGTGCTCAGATCTCATTCTATCCGGACCTGATGTTGTTCGACTCTTCACCGACGAAACAGTATGTTGGAATTCAGAGGCGAGAACTGGTGGGACGACGTATCCAGACCCTTTGTCTCCTATAAGGGTAAGAAGACGTTGCTATTGAAAAGATTTGAGCAGTAATCCTGAATGATTTTCTCTATTGCCTTTCTGAAAGCTGTAATTTTTTCGTCTTGGTATGGCATTGCAGTTATCTTGGTCTTTTCTCAGACTCTGAAGCTTTGGCGATTACTACTATTCTTCGCTAGTTTAGATCCTTTATTGTCTTCCAGCGGTGCTTTGCAACGAAAACAAAGCTCGTGAATTTTCAAAACATTATGCAAAGAATCCTGTGTCTGCATGACGACAGGAACATCAAGGATGATTGAACCACAAGGCGATAGCCACTAGGTGTGATTGGTGGACACTTGAAATTTGCAAAAAATACTATCGGACTTTCCTGCATCTCACAGCGATATCTAATAGGGAGTAACAAGAAAGAAAACAAATTAAAAGCACATGCTAACCTCCTTAAGACTTCACCGCTTCGCATTCCATCAGTGATCACCACCGGTTTCTCCTCGTCGTTGAAGACAGGGTCATTGTCATTAACATCCGATACACGTATAATTACGGTAGCCGTGGAATTTTCATGATACGCCAAGGATTGACAGCCAACATCAATCTTAACAGCAAAGTCTGGAGATTCATATCAAATGCGTCTATTCAACTGTCACTAAAGAATTTTCTTTAAGAAAGATCTATTTAACAACTTTGAAAAGGCTCTGGTAAGGACTGTAAATAAATAGGTCTTAAAGCAGACTGAAAGTGAAAACCTAAACTTTAGGTTATAATCAGGGTTGCAGACCACAATGAAAAATTTGTGTACCCACAACTATTAGATCGCAATGTTTTAACGTTTTGTTTTCTGCCTTCTATAATTTTCATGGCAGGTTACTAAGCGAAATACAACCACAATGTTGCTGAGATATTTGCAAAACTCTGGACCGCAGGTGTCTATGGTGGGGAACGAA